TTTAAACTTTGCTTTTGAACTTTGCTTAAAGATTTTGAAATGGATCGACATTTTAAGCCCATACTAGTACAGTGGAACAAAAGGCAAGACGGAAGCTATTCACGGTATACATTTGAATTAAATACGCAGGCACTTCCCTGTCTATATGAGAAAGTCAAGAAATGCAGAAAGACACTGCGAATGATAGTTCAATGTCAGACATACAGTCATAGATCATTCGATTCAATACTACCTGCCAGTAAGCACATACAAACACACACATATATATAGGATAATGGAGATTGCGGGTTCGAATCTCAGCCGAATCATACCAAAGATTTATAAAAGTGTTACTAGTACCTCCCTCGCTTGACACTCAGCATGACGATGTTAGTGCTAGGACTTGTCGACCTGGGGTCAGGATAAGGTAACCAGGTTGACATGATGCTACATGTCTGCGGCATGATGCCCCAGTGCTAGACATTCATTACAAAATGCAAAACTGCATATATAACTAAAATTCTTAAAGCTACGTTAAAAATTCAAAATCACACTCACTCACTCACACACACACACACACATACACGGTGCTTAACGGCTAATGAATCATGACCATATAGTGCCAACGGCTAAAAACTAAATTTCAGGCTTTGCTAAGTAAAACAGAAATGAAAAGTAAAAATTGTAAAAACTTTGGGGAAGATTAACCACTTCAAAATAAAAGCGCATATGTTCTCCAACATGATAAAATATAAAAGGAAACGAAATCAACAATCTTGAAACGGTATCGCAAGGAAGAAAGATGGCTCTCTTTCATATTGAGGACAAAGTCAATGCAAGGCCCATTAAACATGTTCTAATATTTTTAATTTTTAAAAATGCTGAATACGCTTGCGGCATCCGTTTGCTTTCACGGTATGGAAATAAGTATTCTCAACTGTTAGCTGTCGAACATTGGTATTATGGGTAATAAAGTAACAATGATGCTTTGCAGTCGTCCTTTTCCGTACGCAATATTCCAGAGTGACTACAATTATGTAAATTGACACGTGCTATATGTTTAGTAAAACTTGACATGAAGACTCGAAAAACAAGTGTTGTAAAACTAAATCCATTATGGGGTAGTGCCATCCTTCATGCAGAAAAATCAGTTGAGAACAATTAGTATCGAGCAGATCGCGTATAGGACACGCATACCTGATTCGTGCCTGCCTCCAGAAGGGTGACACGACTAGAGTGTACACCTGTCAGAATCGACTGATAGTGGATGGAATACATTCCTGTCGAGTGAATTGGCTTTCGCTATTTGCGACAGACGTGTTACAAACTAGTGAACTTGTTTTAAAAACACCAGGCAGGATCTTTAACTTTATGAAGAATGCGATTCATACAACACATTTAACCACACATTATACGGATTTTCTGCTTTCTATTTGCCTTTGTCTTTAATTTCATGTTACCACTCAATGGTCCTAAACTAAATACCATAAACGAGCGAAAACCAACAAGTTTTGTATAATTCAACAAATAATTTATTTCCCTAAAATACAAAGTAAAAATTTAAAAATAATTTATAGTATTGGGAATTAAATACCAAACATTCCTAAAAGTTTTAACACACGTCCAAATATATAAAGTTCCATTGGTATTCCAAATAAATACCAATAATGAATCTGCTGATGTTCCTCAAGTCTCGAAAGTGGTAATATCCCAATGGACTCGTACGAGGCTATATTTTTAAAATAAGTAACAGAAAAGAGTGAAAAGCAACAAGCTTTATCAAATTCAACAAATAGTTTATTTTCCTAGAATCAGAGTAAAATGTAACGAAAAGAAACATACCATATTACGAATTTAGTCCCAAATAATCATAGATTTGCAGACACAAGTCCTAATAATTTAAAGTCTTGAAACATATTTAATAGAAGTTCAAATTAAATCCAAACTTGAAGATGATGATATATCAGTATTAAATTTTATAGTGTTGAAGAGCCAAAAGTTTTTGTTGAATCACAGTAATATAATTCCAGGTTTGAATTCACTATAAATTTCAGTGAAGGTCTCTGTCCAAGAACTTTATCAGAGAACATTTGTATTTATAGTGAAAATAATCACTTGAATTCAAAAAGGGGAAGAAAATAGATTCCAGCCCGAAATAATGCTAAACAAAACGTATAACACACCTTGATTGTGCTAGAATTTATAGCACGAATGAAAATTCCTCTATGTTACAAGATTTAATAGTTCTCCGCTTGACCTCAGGTCAAGTTCTCCACTTGACCTCAGGTCACAATTAGCATTTGCAAAAAAAACCACATTATTGCCTAATGAAAAAAACACCTTCTAGAAGTATCCTGATGTGTACAAAATTAAAATATTAGTTTTTTTTAGAAACCAGAACCTGGACTATGTCAGATACAACTAAGGAAATTCCAAAACCAAGACCTGGACCAAAATAAACATATTGGATAATAATAATAATAATAATAATAATAATAATAATAATAATAATAATAATAATAATAATAATAATAATAATAATATAATAATAATAATTTTAAACCAATGCACATAGAGAATAATTTAGCTCTGTATTAGTCGTTTATACACAATAAAAATTTAAAAAAAGTAAATTCAGGTCTAGCAGGAATAATTTCAAATTTGGACAAGGTTGAGTCCAACATACAATGTTGCATTACAATAGCATGTAATTAAATAAAATATAATTTAAAAAAACCCAACAAACTAAGAGTGCAAATTAAATATACACAACACCTGAAATTTGATGTACAAACAGGCTTGTAATGTATTACAATAATATAGCCCAAAACTTTCTTCTCTGAATTCACTATAATACCAAATTAAAATTTTTCTCCAAGAATATTATTCATAATCACTTTGTATTTCCAGTTAATTATAATTAAAATAAACAACTGTACCCAAAAGGAAAAATTTAACACAACAATAAGACTGATTCTACTTCAAGAATGAGTAATTTTAAGAAAAGATTATATACTTGTCTACTTGATCTAGGTCGCAATTACCATTTTCTAATAATACTCCGTCAGTTTATAGTGATGTCTAGCACTGGGACATCATGCTGCAGACATGTAGCATGATGTCCCAACCAATCACATTATTCTGACACCAGGCCAACCCGTCCTAACACTAACCTCCTAATGTTGAGAGACAGGCGAGGCAGCTGTTAGTACCATTTTGAAAAGTCTTTGGTATGACGGGGCCCAAGGGCATCATGCCGTAGACATGTAGCATAATGTCCCACCCCTTCACATTATCCTGAAATCAGGCCGACCAGACCTTACACTAACTTCTTAATGCGGGACTCCTAGCGAGACAACTGTTAGTACCATTTTGAGTAAGTCTTTATTATGACTCAGCCGGGGTTTGAACCTGCGACCTCCTGCATCCGACACGGACGCTCGAATCACTAGGCCACTAGAGCGGTATATTCAAGCAGAGACTGATGTTTGCAATAACAAAACAGGTCAAAAATGTAAATGATTGTCAATACATCAACATAAAATGTATCAGGATTTTCTTATAGGCTTATGTTATAGCGTCTTACGGCATCTCAGCACGATAGTGCCTCCGTGGTGCCAACTCCATTGTGTGTGTGTGTGTGTGTGTGTGTGTGTGCGTACGCGCGCCTGACATCAGGCTGAAATAAACCTTAAATCGTAATGATTAGAGACAAGGGAGGTAGCTGATAACACCATTTTTAAAAGTATTTTTTAAAACTCGGCCGCTTGAACAACTTAGGCCACCGATTCTGTCGCCAAGTAAAGATAATTTTTTTAGAAAGTGTAAATAAAGGCTACACAAAAGTCGAGAAATATAACTGTTCCAAAACAATGCAAAACCTAAAGATAAAGGTAAAATATAACAGTACACATTTTAAAAACTAAACGGTACATAATGGAATAGATAAAGCTAACACTTGTAAAATTCTTAAAATATATGGTCAAAGTTTGATGTAGAAACTGCCTTGCCTAAAAAAAATCAGAAATTTTCTCGCTTGGTTGATCATCATAAGTTTATTCTTTGAGTTCACATCAAAATACTTCTGCCTGCCAAGGTGGAAGTCTACAAACTCGAAAACGTGATTCACTTTAAGGAGACAATGGTATGGCATTCATTCTGGTAGAGATTCATCTATCACGTTCTCTGAAGGAGTCAGATATGCATATCCTATAAGCGACTTGTTCGTTTGGTAGTTTACAGTTGAGCCAAGCTCATTTGTCTCAAGAGATGTAGTTAACTTAATGAAACCGGGTGAATGAACTCTTCATATCCTTTCACAGTAAGTCCGCTAAAAAAATGTAGTTCTGTGATTTTGTGCTTTTCACAATCCTCATTGCAAATTGAAAAGTTGCTTGTTTTCTTTTTGGAACTTCTATTTTCATTCAGGTTTATTAAATAAATATAAGACAGTTATTACTTGAACATGAAATGTTTTTTGTTTTTTTTTCTAACGAAAGTAGAGCACTACAAACACAATACTAGCTTCTTCAACTCTGAAAGTACAGCCATTCGCTTACCAGCGAAAGTATAGAAAGGAGTGAGAAGTAAAAACTAAGCGAAATGACGAATCAACAAGAGTAATTCTAACATTTTAATGTATTTACAGTTGATCTAAATTAAATTTCTGCTTTACTGTAAAATTGATATGCTGATATGAGAGAGAGAGAGAGAGAGAGAGAGAGAGAGAGAGAGAGAGAGAGAGAGAGAGAGAGAGAGAGAGAGAGAGAGAGAGAGAGAGAGAGAGAGAGAGAGAGATTTAACGTAGCTTTAACCAATTTAGTCATATAGCTAAGATGTCTGCTGCGTGGAAGTTTAAGGTGAATTTTTTTGCACTGGGGCGTCATGCTCTAGACATATGTCATGTTTCACTCATTCATATTATCCTGACAGCAGGCCGACAACCCTAACACTAACCTCTTTTGATGAGCTCCAAGCGAGGCAGCTACTAGTACTATTTTTCTATATTTCTTTTGTATGACTCGGACTGGGTTCGAACCCGTGACCTTCCGCATCAGAGGCGGATTCTCTAACCACTTAGGTTAGAGAGAGAGAGAGAGAGAGAGAGAGAGAGAGAGAGAGAGAGAGAGAGAGAGAGAGAGAGAGAGAGAGAGAGAGAGAGAGAGAGAGAGAGAGAGAGAGAGAGATTGTTGTTTGGAGTTATGGAAGAATTACCGTAAGGGCATTTTTTTCTTTTATATTTTAGTTATTGTCAAGCCCTGTTTCTCTTTTGGTCAAATAGTCTGCTGCCTGAACAACCAACACAGTAAGAGAAAGGGGAGTGAGGGCGATTTTCGGACATTTTCATATTTTTTAATAATCGGTGTTTAGAATCTTATTATAGTTTTAATAATAACAACAAAACAATAATAATCATTAAATCCATTCCAGTGTGTATGTGCCTCGTAACCCCCTCCCTAAAGAAATATGTTTTCGGTCAGCCCCACCCATATGAATAAAAACAACCTGCTGACCCTAAATTTTAACAGCAGAAATGCACGGTTGTGTTTGGGGAATGGGGTGAGGCTCACGAAAACGGTTTACCGCATAGTGTCAACCGTCTACTGCAACTTTGTATCATTGATAGTGTGGACACTGTAGATAAATTCCAAGGAAACACGTACGGTTACGAAACAACAGGTTCTTGTAGTTTACTTGGTTAAGTTTAGTTTCTAGGTTTTAATCAAACTCAAGCTCAAGCTCGATCGATCGATCTCGAGATCGAGAGAGATCGAGAGAGAGAGAGAGAGAGAGAGAGAGAGAGAGAGAGAGAGAGAGAGAGAGAGAGAGAGAGAGAGAGAGAGAGAGAGTAATTTATTGCGACAGATTATTCAGGTATATTTATATAATCAGGCTATGAAAGTGAGGTGAATTTACGAAGTGATTAGAGAGTCCGCCTTTGATGCGGGTGAGTTCAATTTTCTAAACTGCGATTCAGCAAGTTTGGTATGTAATAAAAATATAAAAAAAAATTATTTGTACATACCGGATATATATATATATATATATATATATATATATATATATATATATATATATATATATATATATATATATATATATATATATATATATATATATATATGCAACGGTTTTCAAGTTATGACACAAGAAGGAAGGGCAGACACATATACATTATCCAGAAGTAATGTTGGTATACAAGTTAAATTAACTTCTATGTAATTTTTGTACGATAACTGTTAAGAAATCTGCACCCATATTAACAAACGTGCCTTGCATCAGTGTCGTCACTAAAGGATGCGGGAGTGCGGATCGCACAGGGTCACATCATCAGGGAGGGTGACACCAAAATGACTGTCATTAAACATTTTTGAATTTTTGTGCAGGAAGGGGGTCCATAGGGGTGACGATATGAGTTACCGCAATGGGTGACGCCACTGCCTTGCCTTCTAGCTAAATATGTATATATTAGGAAGTAACAGCGGACTCCTCACACCAAAGGGGTGGGATTCACTTTCATGTAAAGAAAGCAATCAGCCACTCTAAACACAAAAGTTTGATCCAAATCCTGTACACAATGATCAGGACAGAACAAAACTTTGGAACTGATAAACGAATCGTGAAATCTGTCTTCGCTGTAGAAAGTACAAACAAGAAGCAAATGGTGGGAAAAGGAACTTCCTTTGATTATGTGGGAAAACAAAGGTCCAAATGATTTAATTCATTGACCACTTGATATGCAAGGGATGCAGGAAAATTATGAAACCGTCGGGAAAAAAAGTATCTGTATGCATACTTATACTCATTATTATTATTATTATTATTATTATTATTATTATTATTATTATTATTATTATTATTATTATTATTATTTGTGTATTATATATACAATAATATAAACCCTGTGTGCATGTGGAAAGATGGCCATTGAAACATACATATAAATAAATTAATTTGTCCCTGTCTCTAAATGACACGTGAAATGTTTGAAAAAAAAAAAACAACATTGAAATATGTATACATCTAAATAAAATATTCTGACCTTGTTTCTAAATGTCATGTGATTTTTTCCCCTAGTTTTGCACAATGTTTAAAATTATCTTTTTTGGCCCAATTTTAATCTGAAAAAAGACACTTTTTTATACAACGCTGAATACTTCTTTGCTGGTGTAACCAATTTAGCTTGTGTACGGTGACCATTCGATGACAATTAATGACTCCATGTCTATCCATGTAAGAAGGTGGGAGAGGGTGTAAAGTAATCATTGGTTCGTCCACCTTTGGTCTTGTAGCATTCGCAGCATGTATACGAATTGTGTGCGGATTCTAACGACATCATTTAAACAAAATGTAAAAAAAAATTAACTGATTGACATTTAAAAAAAAAAATTATAGGTTTCCAACAATTTAAGGTCTGTTCGCCATTCTCTGGTAAATTAATTAATTAGAATAAACTGATGAATATTTATTAGTGTCACTAAATAAGTTTTGCAAATAGGAACTTGAAGAGATGTGATCGATTAAACTCGTGAGCCAATTTTCAAAAAATCTTTTCTTCTGTTGTCAAATGCTTTTGTTTTATTTCGGTTCATAAGAGAATATGAAATTTTAGTTGGTTTGGATAAATTTGAGCAATTACACCCCTTGTACACTCTGACTGGAGATGTAATCCTGCCACCTATGGTATGTTCAGAATGACGAGTCATCACCTGATCAAGCTTGGTAGTGCGTGAAAGGGCTAATGAAAGGTTCCTAGCAGTTATTGAGGTTAATGTTAGGACTGGTCGGCCTGGTGTCCGTATAATGTGACTGGGTGGGACATCATACTACATGTCTACGGCATCACTAGAACATCACTAGACATCACTATGAAGTGCCACACTGCAGACGTCGTAGCGATATGACTGAAATTTTTTTAAAGCTACGCTACTTGGGTTGGCGTCACATCGCCAGTTATTCATTAAATAATCAAAAGAAATGTACTGGTACTTACTTTTAGATTTTGGAATGAAGATATCCATTATCTCTCAGCTTTGATCAGTATACAGTTTCTCTTCTTGATGTCACCATCCTTTCGTTTTCGCTCTAATTAGGCCTACATGATGTCCCACAACATACAAGAGGATAACACAAAATAGTTAACCACTTCCGCTTCGAAAAACTACAATCCAACACACTGTAACACCAATCTCGTACGTACACTGATAATCACTTAATGTCTATCATTTCATTTTGGCTTATTAGGCCTGTTCAACTGATATTTTCAATCCCATTCTCTACCTAAACAAAACAAAAACCGCCTTGATACAGTGCGTTCATGGACAATCATGGACGACGGCAAGTTTAAACAGAGCAGACGATAATAACATGCATCGCAGGTAAAAGAAGGACGTGGTATTTGTAAACAAGTTCTTGTCGGAAGATTCGGTGGGGTGCATTACTTCATACAAATAGAAAACGGTTCAGTGCGTTTAAGCACGAAGAATAAATACGAAATAAACACGGTAATAAACAAGAAAATTAATTTTAAAAATGACCTGCAGTGACATTCAATCCCTTTTTCAACATATTACAAAACTATATATACTACGTAAAAAGTGTGTAATATGAAACCCCAAACCTATGACTTGATGTGGGCTTCTCAAACACGTATGCAAATATTATAAGACAAAGGGGAGGAGGGAGACATACCCTAGTGAAGGAGGTATAATATTCCCTCGGTGAAGAAAGCCTCATGTGAATCACTGGTTTATTATGAGCAGGAACTGCAACGTGACGTAACATCGACGGTCGTTTTTAATCGCATTGTTAAGCCTTTTCTGGACGTACAACGCGCCCAAATGTATTTCTATCAAAATTATTCCAACCATGTGAAATTTCTTGGCTTTTTAAAAAAAAATTCAAATTATTTCAGATGGGTAACTTTATTACTAAATATCCCCGAATAACAATTGTAAAGAATTAACTTACGAAAACTGCGAAAATTAAAATGCAAATGAAATCCTCTAAAAGCTGGTTTAAAGTGAAGAGCAATTAGATTCAATTAATTCATTATATTTTTTTGTGACTGAATAGATATGGTTAATAGCTTTTAATAAAGAAAAAAACATAATAAAAAAAAATTTACCAGCATGCATTTTGATGGTTATTTACAATACCAATTAAACACGTCAAACCTACAACCTGTTAATAAAATTTGTAACTAAGATAATGAAATTTCAAAATTATATGCAGATAATATGCAGTAAATATATAAACATATAATTAGAGCAGATCAAGGTTTGATTATGTAAAATGTTTAGGTGTTGTTTCGAAAATTTCAATCGCGCACTGACTATCCTCGAAAGGACACCAAAGCAAACGTCTGTGTATATTTACTTATAGTCTTCATAATTCCCAATAAACGTCAGCAAGTATAAAATCATGGTCTAATTTCAAGTGACAAGTGACTGTATGTTGGCGTGTGTACGTTTTTTGTGTACGGTTATTTTTTCTTTAGCTGAGGTTTCCCCCCCCCCCAATCAGGCCATGCAGATTTCGGTTTTAATCATGTTAGACCCATCAATCGCAAAAAAAACCCGCCAAAGTAATAACGCTTCCTTCCCTGTTTTATGGGCCTGTCGCCCCTACTCCCACCCCACCCCACCCAACCCCCGACCCACTGTAAGGCCCAAATCAAAGAGCGTTCATACTGATCAACGGTAAAGAGGTCCGCATTTGTTTGGGAAAGTAATTATTTTCATTTAAAAACCTATTTCTTTTGCTGTCCATTAAATGATGTATATTGATACGTTGAGATTCAGTGCTGATCATACCACGGGCTTTGGTGATGAAAGGTTAAAAGGACTGCGTGTTATAAAATCAAAAAATGAGGTGAATCCAAACATCGAAGAGGTCGTAAGTCAACTTATACCTGTAAATCATATGGATACTTTACATGTGTCAACATTAGCAATGTTAAATGCGTGTTGAATGCATGCTTTTTGGCTGACACGATTTTGGATATTATAAATTGCCGTGTTTGTCATAAATGGTTTTGGTATCCCATCACCTCCTGCTGCGGAACACGCAGTTCCGAGGGATGG